TTTACTAGCATACTACAGGATATTATGGGATGAGGAGGGGAAAGTATACCTAAATTAGTAGTCTATCCATTATTTTATTATTGATGAAGTTGCCAAAGCAGTATGCAGTAAAGAAACCTGTATAGTTGGACTGAAGGACTGGACCTTTCACAGCTTCATCCAACTAGGCAAGACAACGCAGCTCCAGCTTTTTCTGGGGAGCTAAGGGAGAAATCCTATCATCTATAAAGATTCCAGATCCTCATCAAGAGACCTATTTGAACAAGTACAGTACTAGACGGTTATGTTGGAATCCACAAAACTTTACTGTGACAAAATTGTTAGGTGCTCCAAAGATGGGAGTTGCTTGTATTCACTTTAATCTTCACACTATTAATGATATATTTCCCCATCTTGGCTAATCACATCAACCTGAAGAACTGACTGAATAAACTCACTAGATAATTGTCTCCCTGACAAAGGGAATTGCCTTAACCATCTCAACAAATGTGGTCCTGAGCCCAGTTCTTTAAAAAAAATTCTGGATGAGCTATCACACAGGTGCAAATATTCTTGGGGGGGGGGGGAGGAAGAGAACTTGAGACACTGTTGGGGGTCAGACCTAGATAAAATAAATTTATTATTTATTTCTTTACAGTATTTATACCCCACTCTTCTCAACCCTGAAGGGGACTCAGAAAGACCTTACAAAGGCAACAATTCGATACCATATACAAAACAGACATAAAATAAACATATACATTAACACATGAATTTAAAATCAAAGAAAGATTAAAACACATTATTAAAGGATCTAGATTCTTTATAGTCTTTGCTCAGGACTGGATTTGAAATACAGAATGCATTAGCTATCAGGAGATTTTTTGCTGGGAAGTAAGAGTCATCATAATTTTTCTTGATGAGCACCTTTTGATCTCATTCACCATGGTATCCTATTATGACCAACTCTGTGGGCTCAGCCTGACAGCCATAGGAATATAGTGGTCCTAAAGATCTTTCAAAAACCAAATGCTAGTGATGATTGCTTGTTTCCATGGCAATTGGAAGTCTCTACGGAACCACTCAGAGTTCAGCTTTATTCCCCATTCTAGTTAATATGAAGTACATTCTCATCAGTAAGCTGAAGGCAGTCAGTATTCCCTTTGTCAGATTCAGGAAGGACTGTGTAGGTGATGTCCGGTATCTGTCTGTACAAAGAAATGGACTAATAATAAATTAAAGCTGAATCCTGGCAAGGCAGAGGCGCAGATGTTGTTATATAACTGGCTGAGGATAAGATTAAAGTAACAGGTACACAGTGTGAGGACATTCTTTGTCTTTCAATCATTGTCTCTCAAGTACCTGTAATTTCAGTCACAAAGTTTTGACATATTTGTTAGGTTGGTTATAGCCTAACTACAATGAAGAGACACCTGTAAACCGCATGCTGGATTATTGTAATGTCAGCATGCCCCTTAAACGTGTTTAAAAGCTTCAAGTAGTACAGAATTCGGTTCCTAGACTTCTGACTGAAATGTACAAGAAGAGCCCTATTTCTTTGGTTTTGAAAAATCTAGGGCTGCTTTTTCAATACTTTTAGGGTTTACCACTGAACACACCATTTTTCTACCAGGTATGAGGCTCTGCTTAAACCTCAGCTGATACCAAATGTAAAGACTTGCGCAAATCTTGTGGATTCCAACAAAATAATAATATATTTTTAAAAATTAATTTATATTCTGACCTACCTCCCAGGAGGGACTCAGTGCGGATTCCAAACATAAAATGCAAACATTCAATGTCTGAACAATATACCCATAATAGCAAAAACTGACAACCCAACATAAAAATAAATTATAAATTAACTGAAGTTAAATGATAAATGCAACCTATTCTATCAGATATGAAACAAAACATCAAACACCAAACATTAAACAGAAGCCTCAATTTCCCAGTTCCTTGGGGGCAAATAAGATTGATAATTGCTTAAGATGTCTGTTAGGCTGATGGGATGAACAGGGCACAGATACAGATAGAAGCTATTAATTAGAGGTATAATGGTAGTATTGCTATCTATTCCTCCACCAAAAAGTAAGAACTTCCAATTTCTCCCACCCCAACCATCAACATAAGGACCTCCTTTTGTTATACTGATGTGGCCACCAACCTTTGGGGACCTTTTAGATGCCCACTTAGGTAGATGAATGAAATATTATGCAACTGCTTATATTGTCCCCTGTGACATCAGCGCCCCTCCCGCAGCACCAACGGCCACTCTGGGCCAGAATAAAGAAGGGGAGCCAGAAGGACATTGCCATCTTGTCCCCTGTGACATCAGCGCCCCTCCCCCAACACCAACGGCCACTCTGGGGCCAGAATAAAGAAGGGGAGCCAGGAGGACGTTGCCATCTTGTCCCCTGTGACATCAGCGCCCCTCCCCCAACACCAACGGCCACTCTGGGGCCAGAATTGTTTTTATACTATGTCTTGAATTTTGTTGTTCCTATGTTGTACACCGCTGTGAGTCGCCCCTGGGCTGAGAACAGCGGTATATAAGCAAAGTAAATAAATAAATAAAATAAAAACTGATATCATGTGACTAGGAAATAAAAAGGAGTAAAGCAGATTGGCTGTTTCTAGGTGAATTGTGTATGAGGGAAGGAGAGAGGAGAAAAAGGGAAAGAAAAGAAGGAAAGGGGAAGGGAGAGAGGGAGGGAAGAAATAAAAGGACAGAAGGAAAGAAGGACAAAAGAGGAGAGGGGAAAAAATGAGGGGAGGGAAGTGGAAAAGAGAAAGAAGGGAAGAAAGAAGGGACAAAGGAAGGGAGATAAGATGAAAAATGAAGTGAAGAGAAAGGAAGGGTGGGGAGAGGAAAGGAAGGAACAGAAAAAGGGGGAAGATGTATGAGCGAAAGCAAGGGAAGGAAATAAGGAAAAGGGAGAAGTTGTATGAAGGAAATGGAGGAAGGAAAGAGCCACAAAGAGAGCCCTCCACCCTTGCCAGAGCACTGCCATGAAATCATCGTGAGGTAGGCCTTCTCGGGGCTCGAGAAAGCACGTGGGCAGTGCTTCTCTGACATGTAGGCCATGCTGGTTACATATGCTAATTATTTATTATACAGTGGACCCTTGCTACTTTGTGGTTCGCTTAGCGCGGACTCGCTATTTCGCAGGGGTGGTGGTGGTGGTGGTGGTTAAAAAATGAATTTAAGCAAGGAGGGTAAGAGAGGGGGCGTCCCTACTTCACAGAATCTCACTTATCGTGGGTGGTCAAGGAACGAAACACCCACAATAAGTGAGGGACCACTGTATTTAGAACACACTCTCACACACACTCTACTTCCAGATAATTCAGACTCTTAAACACTACTCATTAATTGTTAAACCTGAACAACTGACTCTCTTAACCCAAGTTTCCACTCATTCACTCCTATCTTCTTTCTACCCCAACTATATCAACTAACATCACAATCATCATTCATCAACCTTATTCAAATTCTTGCAAACATTCCACCAATCACTACTAACATTCCATTCTCTCTTTCTTTCTTTCTTTAAAACATTTATATTCCACCCTTCTCACCCCGAAGGGGACTCAGGCACAGCATATACATGGCAAACATTAATGCCGGGACACAGATTCACATACAATACATAAACATTAAAAAAACATTTATCAAAATATTAAAATACAATTTAAAATACAAAATATTAAAATACAATTTCCCAATTTGGTTGTATGTACTGTCCATTAATTTTCATACGCAGTGCAGAAATAACCAAATTACACACACACATATATATATAAAGATAAAGAGAACGTACACTGAACAACATTTTACACCAGATCAGGTTTTGGTGATTAGCAAATATATGCAAGAGTACTTTCTCCCTTATTAATCTCTCTATACATAAAGATCATGAGAGGATGCTGATCTCTGTGTAGTTCCCATAAGAGATGTGAACACGTTATTTAAAAAAAGAAAAGGCATTCTATACTCTGATGTTCTGACTCTGAAATGACTCTGAAAGGATGTTCATCTGAGATAAAAATAATAATTTGATCGGCACCAAGTCAAAATATTTTATACTCATAACCACTTTAAAAACCTCAAACATTCTGTCTTTTTACATTTAAATATAATGACATCAATTAATCTCTAAATGTTACTGTTTGTGGTTAGATTTGATGTCATTTTATTGAACTGCATTCTTATTAAACGCATCTTCCAAAAATCCCATCTGGGATGACATGACAGTATATGCAACTTTAAAATAAAATGCAAGATACCTTGCGAAAAAACCTACTCATGACTACCTGACTCATATTTATATTCTCATATGATAATAAAGACTATCTTCCTGTATCTTAGAATGTGTCTCACTTCTTTCATTGTCTAAGACAATCAAAATAGCACTAAATTTCTAAAATTAATTACTAAAGATATGCTGCATTTGTTGGGGGCACCCATTATATATGACAATTCTTAGCTACTAGTTCATCTAAAATGAAATAGTTTAATAGCGTGATTATTCCATTTTAAACAAGCTTTGCATTGCCAACTTCCTTTCAATAATTTTCTCATATAGCTCAGATTTTATTAAAGACAATCCATGCATAGGTTCATAGATAAATGTAATTTTTCCAACTGTATAAAATATCTTACACATGTAAACCTGAATTTCAGCTAGCGATTTTATAACCATCCATAACACATAGAACAAGGACTGAAAAGTATAACAGTAAAGAAGACATCAGATGCTCAAAGTCAAGTTTCTTCATCAGAATACATAGTACTCATATATCCTTTTGTCCTCAGAAAAAGGTTGTAAATCTTTACCACTGAATAATATGTTCATATCCCCAAACAGAAAAGAGATTCTCTACAAGTTAGACTTAGAATTATGTTTCTCTGGAAACAGATTAAATGTTAAGTAGAATGTAACAAAGATTTAAATATCAGAAAGAGACATACAAACTCAAAAAAGGTCAGATGAAGCAAAGCACTAATGGAAACCTACCTGCTTAGAGTCAATGGGAGCTGTAGGAGACTCCAATTCTATGGTCACAGGTCCATCATTCTGAATATGTACCTGCATGTATTCACCAAATTTGCCATCTAAACAAATTAGAGGGGGAATGGGGGGAAAAGACACTTAGTAAAGAATAAGGTTGGGTTTCTCTTCTGTTACTCAAAATATAGTTTTTAAAAAATATATATCAAAGCCAAAGTGTCCTGTATTTTGTTTTGATATGCAGTTTCCTTTTAAAATGTTCTTCATGATTATGATTCAAACTTTTAAATAACAACAATGATAAAAATGCACATGATTTTGCATCATAGGAAATGAACCAGGGCCTCCTTCGCCCAGAACAAATTGTTGCCAACATTATTATTATTGTTGTGTACTTTCAAGTCAACTCCAATTTATGACAACAGGATCATAGGATTTTCTTAGCAAGACTTATGCTGAGGTGGTTTGCCATTACCTAACCTTGGGAAGAATAATTATGATTTGCCCATGGTCACCCAATGAGTTTCTGTGGCTGAATTCAAACCATGATCTTGCTTCACCACAAAGACCCTATGCTTCATTGGCTCTAAAATAATCAGATTTTAAAAGACTGGTTCTTAATATAGCTGTGAGAGAATAAGAACGGTTTGGTACTGAACTATGCACCACAAAGTGTTATTTGTTACTTTACCCAAAAAAATGTATTTAACATGTTCATGTGAAAAGATTTCATTTGACATACTCTGCAGATGTTATCTTAGGAACATATACAGAACTACATAACAAATTGTACTGAATGCAAAGCAGTTGCCATGAAGCTAGGGTTTCCGAAATGCATCTAAAACCAATCAGGCATCCAGTGCAAGTTAAAAGTCTTTTGTTTTTCCTTATCTCCTGTATCTTTTCTTTCCAACATGTTAAGGAATACTTTAGGATAAACATGACAGTGTTATTTAAACACGACAGTATTATTTAAACAGATTGTTTTGTGTATAAAGTGTTTTACGGTATGACACACATCAGTAACAAATAAAATCGGAGAACACTCACAAAGGCTGACAAGATGTCTCTCTAGTGGTGAACTAAGTTGCAAACTTAGGACACGTGTAAAACTAGATATTTAGTTAGAGACGATTACATGCCTCGTGTAGTTCTATTATTATTTCCTCTGACTTTTCACTTATAGAAAAAACCAAGCATGGATGGCTTGACAGTTGAAAAGTGAACTGGCAGACAGCTATTTAACCTTTTGCCTACCAGCCTCCTGTCTATTCAGTATCTTCCCAAATTGCTTTTTCCTGGAGGAAAACACTTTCAACTTTATTTCATTTCCTAGGATTAAAATTAATATGAACATTTGCTTTCCTGTAACAGGGCTGAATATGTAGTCTATTGCCAGAGAATACTGAAAAATATTTCATTATTAAAGGGGAGTTAACTTGCTTGTTTTGACTTAATCTACCACTTGCCCCATTGTAGAACGGCTAAAAAAGATAGTACCGCTCAAAGAGCTGGGCTGGAAATATTTCCATTCAACATAGATAGGTTGAAACTATAGTGTACTACAGAGTGAAACATTATTGTTAATTATACAACATATCAGATAATTCCATAATAGTACAAAAAAAAGCTGATGTCATGTGTAGTTAAACAATTATTCCTTGAATTCTGAAGTCAAGAATTTTTATCTCTCCTGTCTCAAAGCAATTTCTGATTAAGGTTGCAATCTCAATACTGCCAACAGCATTGCCACAACTATGATCTTCCTCTGCTACTATCAGTCGAGTTGTAAAACTTGTATCTATTTCATGGCTACACCAAGAATAGATGTACCTCCACTTTAAAGTAATTGGAGACCAGTTTCCAATTTCCCAAAGACAAGCAATTTACACTGCATATCTGGATTTTTTTTTTCATTCTACAAACTATAATTTGATTTTGCCGTACCTTTAATCAGCTCTGGCTTATATGTTTTGCGAAGGTGTTCCACAAAACTGTTATAGAATGATTCTGCTTGGTCTGTAGGCATGGCCATGTGATAATCTGGCTTGTTTCCTTTCAGGATACATTGAAGAGTAAACTGGCTCACACACAGCACTTCATACTGCTTGTCCATGACACTTTTAGACCAGTGTTTCCCGCTTTCATCTTCAAACACACGCAAGTTTAAAATTTTTCGAACCCTAAGTGTAAAATCAGAAGATATGAATGAATGTCCTCTGGAAATAAAAACATTTGTATACCATTATGAGCATCAGCATATCCATAGAATGGGGAAGAAGGATGATACAAACACAGACTCACAGATTCTGAGGATTTGGTGCAGCAGACTCTCTGGGCCCTTCCACACAGCCATATAATCCAAAATATCAAGGCAGAAAATCCCACAATAGCTGCTTTGAACTGGGTTATCTGACTCCACACAGCCATATATTCCAGTTAAAATCAGATAATGTGGGATTTTATTCAGCTGTGTGGAAGGGGCCTCTGTTAACCAGAACTCAAGCAACCAGGGGGAAAAAAATCAAATAAGTAATACTTTAAATGAAAACTGATTCTTATAATCCTGATAAAATGTCTACCCAGCAAACTCTCTAACCCTACTGTAATAGTTTTAAGTGTGTTAGTGTGTGTTTTATTCTAAGTTACTTGAAGTGAAAGGATATGTCGGTGAAATTGATTAAATTAAAAAGGTTACTGACTGTCATTTAACTAAAATTGCATACTGCATTCACACAGCTATTTTTATAATACAGTAAACCGTTATCACATTGAGTTCGGTTGGTCTTTGTTTTTATTTTATTTTTAATTACTGTATTTCAATATTGATATCAAGGCAATACAGAGTTTATGGTATAGTACAGTATGGTAAGGTAGAGTGTAGTATGGGGTGTAGTATTAGACAAGCCTATTTTTAATAATAACTCTAGCAACCAGAAACTACATTTATCCACCACCCAGCAATCCACATGAGTGCTGGTTAACTGAAAATCTACTGTATTTTGATATTCAGGTCAATGAATGTTAAAAATTAACATATGCATAAGAAATTGTACAACTAATCAAATGTAAATATGGAACACAAGAATAGTTTAATACTTTCTAGTAACTTACATATGTTCGAGCTCTTTCTGAGTGTCTTCCACAGAGATACCCAGTAGCACACAAATGCCTTGTCCAATGGAGCTTACTTGCTCTCCAGCAACTGTTAAAGACATTTTGAAAATGTTAGATTTCCAGTACTTCTGTTTTATGTCATATAAAATCTACATCCCAGAAAGCTTCTATCACAATGAAGATTCAAAGTTTACTGGTCATGATTTGTCACCACCAGATGTTTCTAAATAAGTATTCAAACCATCCATCCTTTCTTTCTTTCTTTCTTTCTTTCTTTCTTTCTCCCTCTCTTGCTCACACTACTGTAACAAAGTATTTCCTCCTAAACCAACAAGAACAAATATGCAGATGCCATTGGGATCCAAAACATTTCCTCCTTGATGCCCTGGCTCCATATCCATTAAACATTATCCAATTCTTGTATTATTCTTGATTTGTCTGTACTTGACCATCACACCTTAAAATAGTTCTAGCAAAATAAAAATACACAGCAAACTACTAGAGCATGGAAACAAATAGAATCACTGCATTTTCTCTGTCACCCCACTTTCAAACTGGCATGGTCTGCAAAGCTGGAAACATGCCTTCCACATTTCATCCATGCGACTCATGTCTAAGTAATTTGTTTTTTTTTTTTAAAAAGATTATCATATTCAGAGCCAGAGAGGAATACATTTAGATAACAATTTTAATTGCTTTGGATCAAGAAAAATGTATAATCTATATTCATGCCAACAGTGCCTTATTCATTACAAAGGAAGAAAGGCTTCCTCCATGCTGGAAGCATGGAGGAAGCTTTCAGTCATGGGGGTGAAGATGTGGCTTCCTCTTCATGATAACTGAGATAAATTTGAGAAGGTTTGTTCCGAATAAAAGTTCACTCCCTTAATCTATTTTCAGTGCTAGAGGTCGGATCTGAAGAAATAAGCAAAATAACAGAGAAGACACTGACAGAGCAAACAAGCTATGTACATGTTAGGTCAGAGCCATACACGCATCCTGAGTATTCGACCAGAAACATGTAAGTTGAAAGCATACAAGTATAGGTATTTATATACATAAAAGTCAAGGTCTGCATGTGTGTGTGAGGTTCCCAACCTGTGGTCCATGGACCAACAGTCGTCCCCAAGAACTAAAATATGGTCCGCAGTCTCACCATTACTACACTGTTGTAACAAGAGTGACTGGTCTTGCAAAACTCTCTTATAGTGCCAAGGCTTATTAAATATGGTTTTCTGTGAGTGAGCAGATGGTGACTACTGGATGACATATGTTCTGTATCAGAACCTAGAACTAATGTGGTCTGTCCAATGCAATTTTCTGAATCAGCACCCCAAATAACCAAATCAAAATCTGATTCATAACCCTTTTAGTACTAATGTTGGAGAGTGGTACCCGATCAAGTGGTCCCTGGTAAAAAAAAAAAAAAAAAAAAAAGGTTGGGAACCATTGATATATATAGTGGTTAGTTGGTATGTAACACAAAGGCTTTGATGATTTGATGGATCTGGACCAAACTTGGAACATAAACCCTAATTATCCAACTTAAAACAACTGAGGAGCTTAAACTAAAAAGGCAACCCACTCCTTTCAGGCCCAGAGCAGAGGGAAAGAAAAGGAACAAAGTGGATCGGCCACAGACAGGTGAAGTGACCCCCTGTCATTTGGCTGAGATACAAAGGGAATAAAGCAGGTGGACTATTGTTAGGTGACATGTGTTTAAGGAAAGAAGGAAGAGTGGGAACGAAGGAAGGAAAAAAGAGGGGGAATGAGAAAGAAAGAAAGAAAGAAAGAAAGAAAGAAAGAAAGAAAGGGAGAAGGGACAAAAAGGAGAAGAGTAAGAAAGAAAGGAAGAGAAAGAAAAGGGGGAAAGGTATAAGGAGCTCCATTGGTTGCCATTCATCTTCCGGTCCCGATTCAAGGTGCACCTATAAAGCCCTTTTGGAGCCCCCTGCTAACTGAATGGTTCTAAAGCCTGTGTCCAGCCATGAAGGCCCTCTCCAAGCCTCCCCCGCACCCCAGCGCATGTCCCATCTCAAAGCCTGAAGGAAGGGTGAGGCAAGCAGGCCTTCCCACACGAGGCACCTGTCACGCTGGCCTGAGCGACTCGCTGGATGATGGCCTTCATGGTGACGGCCCAGCTGAGGTGATCCGCCGGCAAAAGAAAAAAGCCGGCGAAGCTGCTCTTCCGGAACTTCCGTCACAGACAGGAAGCGGAAGAAAGCCCTCCAGCTATAGAGACATTACAAGATAGATTCCACTCGGTTCCCAACTTCCGAGTTCTATCTGTCTTGATCCCTTTTATCCTTCTCCGGGCGGAAGTGGAAGCCACGCAGGGAACCGGAAGGTGAAGGCAATTGCGTGCGTGGTCTTTCCCCCCCTGAGCTTCCTCGTCTCTGCCCACAGGCCAGGTTTAAAGGTGACGTGTTCGCATGCATGTCAACGGAGCCATGGGCTTGGCAAGCCGGGGCAAAATGTATGAACGTAGACCGGTAAAATTGCATTATACAGCGAAGAGGCCACTTTTGCCTACAGCCCTTTACACCGTAAAGCAGCACTGGGATAACACGATTCTGTAACACGATTTTTGTTCCTGGGTTATAAATGTAATTTCCTAATTGGTTATATCATCAAAACATGGGCAAAGTTTGTTGTTCATTCGTTCAGTCGTCTCCGACTCTTCGTGACCTCATGGACCAGCCCACGCCAGAGCTCCCTGTCGGCCGTTACCACCCCCAGCTCCCTCCAAATATTTATATAAGAATGCCATCCATCCATCTTGCCCTTGGTCGGCCCCTCTTCCTTTTACCTTCCACTTTCCCCAACATAATTGTCTTCTCTAGGCTTTGCTGTCTCCTCATGATGTGGCCAAAGTACTTCAACTTTGTCTCTAGTATCTTTCCCTCCAGTGAGCAGTCGGGCTTTATTTCCTGGAGGATGGACTGGTTGGATCTTCTCCCAGTCCAAGGCACTCTCAGAACTTTCCTCCAACACCACAGCTCAAAAGCATCGATCTTCCTTCGCTCAGCCTTCCCTAAGGTCCAGCTCTCACATCCGTAGGTTACTACAGGGAATACCATGGCTTGAATCCATAGCATTCAGCTATGTAATGTCTCTACTCTTAACTATTTTATCGAGATTGGTCATTGCTCAACTCCCAAAAAGTAAACATCTTCTGATTTCCTCGCTGCAGTCTGCGTCTGCAGCAATACAAAGTCTGTCACTGCCTCCACATTTTCTCCCTCTATTTGCCAGTTATCAATCATTCTGGTTGCCATAATCTTGGTTTTTTTGATGTTTAGCTGCAACCCAGCTTTTGCGCTTTCTTCTTTCACCTGGATTAGAAGGCTCCTCAGCTCCTCCTCGCTTTCGGCCATCAGAGTGGTGTCATCTGCATATCTGAGGTTGTTAATGTTTCTTCCAGCAATTTTCACCCCAGCTTTGCATTCCTCAAGCCCCGCACATCGCATGATATGTTCTGCATACAAGTTAAAAAGGATGGGTGAGAGTATGCAGCCTTGCCGTACGCCTTTCCCAATCTTGTACCAGTCTGTTGTTCCCTGGTCAGTTCTGACTGTTGCTACTTGGTCCTTGTACAGATTCCTCAGGAGAGAGACAAGGTGGCTTGGGATGCCCATCCCACTAAGAACTTGCCACAATTTATTATGATCCACACAGTCAAAGGCTTTAGAATAGTCAATGAAGCAGAAGTAGATGTTTTTCTGGAACTCCCTGCCTTTCTCCATTATCCAGCGGATATTGGCAATTTGGTCTCTCGTTCCTCTACCTTTTCTAATCCCAGCTTGAACATCTGGCAACTCTCGCTCCATGTATTGCTGGAGTCTTCCTTGCAGGATCTTGAGCATTACCTTACTGGCATGAGAAATAAGGGCCACTGTACGGAAGTTTGAGCAGTCTTTCGCATTTCCCTTTTTTGGTATGGGGATATAAGTTGATTTTTTCCAGTCTGATGGCCATTCTTGTGTTTTCCATATTTGCTGGCAAATGGCATGCATCACCTTGACAGCATCATCTTTTAAGATTTTAAACAGTTCAGCTGGGATCCCGTCATCTCCTGCTGCCTTGTTGTTAGCAATGCTTCTTAAGGCCCATTCAACCTCACTCCTCAGGATGTCTGGTTCTAATTCATTCACCACACCGTCAAAACTATCCTCAATATTATTATCCTTCCTATACAGATCTTCTGTATAGTCTCGCCACCTTCTCTTGATCTCTTCAGCTTCTGTTAGGTCCCTGCCATCTTTGTTTCTTATCATACCAATTTTTGCCTGAAATTTACCTCCAATGTTTCTAATTTTCTGGAAGAGGTTTCTTGTCCTTCCTATTCTGTTGTCTTCTTCAACTTCCATGCATTGCTTATTTAAAAATAGTTCCTTATCTCTTCTGGCTAACCTCTGGAATTGCGCATTTAACTGGGCATATCTCCCCTTATCCCTGTTTCCTTTTGCTTTCCTCCTTTCTTGGGCTACTTCCAGTGTCTCAGCAGACAACCATTTGCCTTCTTGGTTTTCTTTTTCTTTGGGACGTACTTTGTTGCCGCCTCCTGAACAATGTCTCGGACTTCTGTCCATAGTTCTTCTGGGACTCTGTTTACTAAATCTAGTCCTTCAAATATGTTCTTCACTTCCACTGTATATTCGCTAGGAATGTTAGTGAGATCATATCTAACTGGTCTGTGTATTTTCCCTGATCTCTTTAGTTTTATTCTAAATTGTGCAATAAGAAGTTTGTGATCTGAGCTACAGTCAGCCCCAGGTCTTGTTTTCACCGACTGGATGGATGTCCGCCACCTTTGGCTGCAAAGGATGTAGTCAATCTGATTTCGGTGCTGACCATCTGGTGAGGTCCATGTGTAAAGCCGTCTTTTAGGTTGTTGGAAGAGAGTATTCGTTATACACAGCGAGTTTTCCTGGCAAAATTCTATCAGCCTGCGTCCCGCTCATTTTGTTCTCCCAGACCATGCTTGCCTGTGATCCCAGTTGTCATTTGACTTCCCACCTTGGCATTCCAGTCTCCTGTAATGAAAATAATGTCTCTTTTTGGTGTATTATCCAGTAGGTCCTGAAGATCCTCATAGAACTGATCTACTTCTGCTTCTTCAGCAGCTGTGGTTGGGGCGTATATTTGGATCACTGTAATGTTGAAAGGCTTTCCTTGCACTCGAATTGAGATCATTCTGTCATTTTTGGGTTGTATCCAAGCACCGCTTTAGCGAATTTCTTATTAATTATGAAGGCTACTCCATTTCTTCGATGTTCCTCTTGTCCGCAGTAGTAGATCTGGTGGTCATCTGATGTGAAGTGGCCCATTCCAGTCCATTTCAGTTCGCTGACCCCCAGAATGTCTATCTTTAGTCTTCACATCTCACCAATAACAACATCCAATTTGCCCTGGCTCATAGATCTTACATTCCAGGTTCCTATGGTGTGTTGATCTTTAGAGCATCGGATTCGTCGTTCACCTCCAGTACCGTCGGCCGCTAGCCTTCCTTTCGGCTTTGAGCTAGCTGCGTCATCACATCTGGGGCTAGTTGAACTTATTCTCTGCTCCTCCCCAGTAGCATTTTGGCCATCTTCCGACCTGGGAATCCCATCTTCCAATGGCATACCGACATATCTCTGGTTGTACTGGTCCATTTAGTTTTCTTGGCAAGGATACTGGAGTGGTTTGCCATTGCCTTCCCCAGGGATCACGCTTGGTCTGACCTCTCTGCCACAACCGTCCCGTCTTGGGTGTCCCTTCACGGTTTCGCTCATGCCATCATTGAGGTGCTCAAGCTCCAGCGCCCCGACAAGGCGGTGATCCTTTGCTGGAGTTTATTAAGTTTATTAATAGGCAAAGTTTATTAAGCTGTAAAAAGTTTGTTTTTAGGACATCCTGCAACACGTTTTGCTCTACTTTTGCAATGAATAGCTCATCGAGTCTCAGCCAATTAAACATAGAGATGTTCAATGTGTTGTCAAAGGCTTTCATGGCCAGAATCGGGACATGAGAGAAGCCTCCCACAAGGATGGTCAAACATCAAAACATACGGGCGTCCCCTGGGCAACGTCCTTGCAGACGGCCAATTCTCTCACACCAGAAGCGACTTGCAGTTTCTCAAGTTGTTCCTGACACGAAAAAATGAAAGGCCAGAATCACCAGGTTGCTGTGAGTTTTCTGGGCCATATGGCCATGTTCCAGAAGCATTCTCTCCTGACATTTTATTGATTAGCCCTTAAGCCATATCACCATACCGACACCAAGTAACAGAGCTTGCTACAACTTAATAAAACTTAGGTAATAAGTTAAATGTGACACTTAAAATGATATAGTAAATGAAGTATGATAAAACTGAATATATACATTATATTTCCTATCCCCACTACCATTTACCCCGATCAGCCCCACATATGTGAGTCTTGGCTACACATAAAATTGGGTCTTGGCTACACATAAAATATGTTGTTCTGATGTGAGGTTCCCAATTGTCTGTTTGATACATGGACCAAGGTACTATTTATTTATTTATTTAGAGCTTTTATAACCCGGTCTTCTCGACCTCCGAGGAGGGACTCAGGCCGGCTAACAACAGAGAAACAGTATACAAATAAACTAAAGCATAATAACATCATAGTACATTAATACATTAAAACACATTAAAATACAGATCAAGCCAATTCGTCAAGGTATATCACAAATTCACCACCATCCGCCTTGTGGTCAACAGTTATTGATTCGATCATCAATCTGAAAATGCTAAGTTCCAGAGACAAGATTTTACCATCTTTCTGAAAGTCAGGAGGGAGGGGGCAGATCTGATCTCTATCGGGAGAGAGTTCCACAGCCGAGGGGCCACCACCGAGAAGGCCCCATCTCTCATCCCCACCAGACACGATTGTGAAGGTGGTGGGACCAAGAGCAGGGCTCCTCCAGAAGATCTTAACAACCTGATATAATTTACAAATAATATGTGTGCTATATTCTCATATAAGAAGTAGTAATTGCTTACTTCTGTCTTTTTTATGAATGTTCCTATTAGGAAATGCATATGGATGTGGGTGAGATACAACTTCCAACTCTGTGGGTCAATTCCCCCCAAATTCAGCTAGTATTCAAAGTTGGCCATGATGGGTCTGTGTGCCGCATTTGGTCCAGATCTATTGTCGGTAGGGCTCACAATGCTCTCAGGAAGTGGGAGCCATTTTGGAATTCACACACAAACATAC